CTGGCAAGCACAAGGTCAGTCGTGAGTTTGATTCCCGGGACCAGAAAACAAAACAAAACAAAAAAAAAAGAATTTAACACCACATTAGGAAGATCATATATCATAACCAATTTGATTTTATCCCAGGGATGCAAGGATGGTTCGACATATGTAGATCAATAAATGTAATATATCTCATAAATAGAATCAAAGATAAAAATCACACAATCAGTTGAGCATGGCTGCACACGCACACAATTGCATCACTCTGGTAGGCTGAGACAAGAGGTTGGCAAGTTCAAGCCTAGCCTGGGCAATTTAGTGACTAAGCAAGACCCTATCTCAAATTTTTGAAATAAAATTTTACAAGGCTGGGGAGTGTATCTGAGTGTGAAGCCCTGGATTCAATCCCTAGTACCAAATAAATAATCACAGGATCATCTCAATAAATGCTCAAAAAGCCTTAGACAAAAGTCAACACCCTTTCATGATAAAAACCCTATTTTCAATAGGTATAGAAAAACCTCACCTTAAAATGATAAAAGGCATATTAACACCCACACCCAACGTCATATTAAATGGGGGTGGGGGAATACAGTGTTAACTCCAAAGTCTGGAATGAGATGGGGTCACCGCTCTCCCCACTCCTGTTCCATACAGTACTCAACATTTCAGCCATTCCAATCAGGTATGAGAAAAAAAGAAAAGGGATGTGGACTGGAAAGGAAAAAAGCAAATCACTCCTATCTGCAGATGATATGATTCTTCACATAGAAAACTCAAAAAAAAGTCCACTAGAAGTCTTTTGGATCTGATAAATTCAACACAGTGGCAGAACATAAAATCAACACACAAAAATCAACCATGTTCCTGTATACCAATAACAAACGCAATAAGAAAGAAAACAGAAAACAACCTCATTCCCAATAGCTTCCAAAAAATTAAATACTTAGAAATCAACCAAACTGAGGAGGTAAAAGATCTCTATATAATGAAAATCACACAACTCTGAAGAAATTGAAGAGAACATTAGAAATGGAAAGAGAATACCTGTTCCTGAACTGAAAGAATAGTGTTAAAAAGCCCCTACTGCCAAAAGTGATCTACAGATCAGAGCAATTCCTACTAAAATGCCAACAACATTCCTCACAGAACTAGAAAAAGCAATCCTGCATTTCATTTGGAATCAGAAAAGACCCAGAATAATAATAGCAACTCAAGCAAAAAGAGTAACATTGGAGGCATCATCAGGCCTGATTTCAAGCCATACTGTAAAACCACAGTAACAAAAACAATATGGTATTAGCACAAAATTAGGTATGTAAAGCAATGGAATAGAACAGAAGACACAAAAACAAACCCAAGCAACTAAAGCCAACTGATTTTTCACAACAGGGCCAAAAACATGCTGAAGAAGACAGTCTAACAAAGTGGACAGCCAAGGCAGAAAATTGAAGCTAGATCCCTATCTCTTACTGTCTTGGTTACTTTTCTTGTTCCTGGGACAAAATACCCAACACCCAAAGTTAAAGGAGGAAAGGTTTATTTAGCTCAGTTTGCAGAGGTTTCAGTCCATAATCAGCTGTCTTCAAGGTAGGGTGGCACATGGCAAACGGGCAATAGTTCATGGTGGCAGAAGACAGCAAAAGCAATCAGAGTAAAAAGGGCAAAAGGGAAGAACAAGCTTTTCCTCCTTTGTACTGTATAGAGGCTACCTGCTCCAGGGCAGGTGCAGCACTCACACCCCCAAATCCTAGCACTACACAATGAACCAGTCACAAACTCTAGATTTAGCTGCCTCCGAAAAGGCTGCCCCTATGACTGCATGAGACTTTGCGGGGGGATATCCAGACACAAACCATAACAGCCTGTACTAAAAAAATCAAAACACATCAAAGACTAGACACACAAATAAAACTAGAAACACTGAAACTATTGGAAGACAACACAGGGGAAACACTAAGCCATAATCACAGGCAGACTTCCTGAACAGAACTTCAAAAGCACAAGAAATAATGTGAAGAATCAACAAATGGAACTACATCAAGTCAAAAAGTTTCTGCATAACAAAGGAAACAACAGAGTAAAGAGACACCCACTGAATGGAAGAAAATTTCTGCTAGCTATTCTGACAGAAGATTAGTATCTATACAAAGAACAGAAAGAAATTAATCTCCCTAGAACAATGTATCCAATAAAAAGTGGCAAATGAACTACTTTTCAACAGAAATTCAAATGGCCAAAAAGTATGTAAAAAAAAAAAAAAGTTCCACATTTGTAGCCATCAGAAAAATGCAAATGAAAAGTATGATGAGATTCCATGTTGCCAGTCAAAACAGCTATCATCAATACAAAAAGAATGTTGACAAAGATGTGGAGAAAAAGGAACCCTAATAAAGTATTTAAAAATAGAAATTAAATCGCCAACATTTTTAAGATAAAATTTTTGAGTCATTATAACTGTTATCCATCAATGTTTCAAACTACTTACATTTTCAGAATAACATCTGTCAAGGGTATTCTGTCATCTCTGCTAAAACATTACTTCATAGTTAACTGACCTTAGCTCACTCATGTTTGAAACATGTATTTTCCCTCTTTCTAAAAGTCAAGGACTTGATGGATGCATCTCACTGCTTTCTTTAAAGTCTATCCATGAGCAAACACTACTAGGCATTTTTCATGTGCTAAACTCTAAAACATTTTTGACTATACAACCTTCTCACACCTTTTTCAAACTAGTAAGATCTGATATTTACCATCTGAAAGTTCTCATTCTTATATTCATTTGAAGTCCTTTTATCATATCCAGAAAATATCTTTCAGGAAGTGCAGAAACCAGAGCTGCACCTAACACTCTAGGTAAAAATGCTTCATAATTTTATAGACTTTGAAAGGTCCTAATACTGGGAGATAGGGGAGATCAAAGCGTTGCACATGTAGGCAAGTGTTCTACCAATCAGATATAAACCTCTGGCCCTCCAATATCGAAGAAATTCAATGTACTGTTGATCTTTCTCACTGAAACCTGTATGGAAATAAACTTCAAGCCTACAAAACTGTCTACTTACTTTTCCTTAATAATATAGTTTGGTTGCACAGAGCCAGCCAATATCTAAACAATCTCCTATAAAAATAGGCAAATTAAGTATAAGAACTGTATGCTTTATAATCACAGATCACACAATTAAAAATATAGTAAATATGCAGGTCAGTGCTCTTGAAGTTTATTATGTAAACAAATTTTTAAACCTAGGACTAAAAAATAAATGTGAAATACAAATTGTACAACCATCTTAGTACACTTTGTGCTACTGTAATAGGACACCTGAGACACAGTAAAAAAAGAAAAAAAACAGAAATGTTTTTCACAGTGCTTGAGACTGGAAGTCTAAGACCTAGGCTTGTGTTCACCCATCATTTGGTCTGGTCAGGGTCTTCCTGCTTCAACCTTACACTGCGGAAGGCAGAGCTAAAGACTTCCTAAGATCCTAATCCTATTAACAAGGAAGAAGCCAATATGGCCTAATCATCTCTTAAAGGCTCCACCTCTTAATACTTTCATATTGGCAACACCTGAATTTTGGAAGCACCATACAAACCATAGCAATAACTGTAGATATATTTGAATTCCACTTGAAATAGATCAGAGAAATGAACTATCACAAAAGCAATGATAAAGCAACTAAAGAAGGGATGGTAATAGAAATTATCCAAGATAAATCATCCTTTAAAAAGAAAGAATAAAGAAAATAAGGATACATTAGACTCTAACTGAAGATAAACATATAAAGTCATACCAGGATTCCTAAAGAGAAGTACTAACTGGGTGTTAAGAGGTCTGAAATCCAAAGACAGATTTGCCCCAACTAACTAAATAAGCTGGGTCAAGTCATATCCTTTTAGGTCTCAGTTTTCTCATCTCTAAAATTAAGAATAATCAGATGTGCTCTGATTCACCCTGCTCAAGAATTCTCCAGTTATATGTTACTGAGAAACAACCTCATTATCAGAGTGCTATCTGCTTGCTGCCCACTCCCACTTTTCCTTATTACTCACCAAGCAGAAGCAGATTTAGTTTTCTGGCACTGCCTAGTACTAACTAGAAGGGACTAGAATAAAACTGAGAGCTTTTCAAATGATTAATGCCTCTCAGGCAGAAAACAAAATGTTTCACATTTCCATTATCCCATATCCAAATAACAACTGTATTTCACAATTTAAAAAAATGAATCTTACTATGTTACTATATTAAAAAAATACAGTTTTAACTATAGAAAAATGTAAAAATGGTGATCTCAATGTTTGTTGATCAGTCTCTAGTGAGTTTTAACGCAATTTTTCAAGCCTATGAACAGAGAAGCCTCGGGATAACTAAAGGGCTCAAAACCACAAAACTATATTCTGTTTCTAGGAAAGAATGCCAGAATAAAACCATCCTTTCAAAGTACAATTGCCATTTTACTTAGCACGTAGATGGAGCCTTACTGAATCTATCATGCAAAGTACTTTTTAACAGTCTAAAACAAGTATTTCAGACATTACAGTATTTTAAAACAGAAGCAACCCAGCTAGGTGTGGTGGCACACACTTGTAATCCTAGCACTCAGGAGGCTGAGGCAGAAGGATCACTAAGAGTTTGAGGCCACAGCTACATAGTGAATTCAAGGCTGAACTACATAGAAAAACCTTGTCTCAAAAAACTAACTAAATAAATAAATGAACAAAACAGAAACAACAGATTCTAAACTTTTCAAAAACACTTTTAACTCTATTTTCTGTATTCCACTACAAATAATCTCCACAAGGGGCTGGGGATTTAGCTCAGCGGCAAAAGCACCTGCCTGGCAAGCGCAAGGTCGTGAGTTCGGTTCCCGGTACCGGAGAAAAACCAAAAAAAAAAAAAAAAAACAACCCCCCCCCAAAAAATCTCCACAAAATGTCCATTTTAGTAAATTTTTAAAACCTAGCAGCCCAAAATTGATCACTGAAAAACAGCTCAGAAATTTTTAAAATCTTACCTCTACATTAGGACTAAGGCTGCTTGGCAGTGTCTCTGAAGTCACAGTAGTGCTTGGAAGGCTAGAAATTTCCCAGGTATTGACAGGCTGAATTGGTTCCGACTGCTTTGAACGATCTACACATTTTGGATTATCCAGTAAGGTCACTTCATAAAATTCTTGAATATCTAGAGACAAGAAAAGGAAAAGAAAATTTCAGAAGTATTTATATTTCTAGTTAAACTATGTCATACTAAAACAATCAAAAGCAAAACCTTTAACTAGAGAAAAATAAATCCAATTTTATAATTTACTTTGACAGTGAATATTTCATTTCATTATGTTGCAATCATATCAAAACCTGCAGGACATAGTGTAAATCATAAGCATGTTACACTTCAAACAACATGCTGGGTTCAAATCCCAATGCTATTACCAATTAGCTACCAAACCTCTGATTAACTTGTCTCTTGTAAACTGTTGCCAAGACTGAGCCTAACAAAGTGCTTAATATAATAACAGGCTCCTAACAGATGGTAGCTAATATCATTATTACGAATTTTACATATACAATTCATTACCAATGTTTAGTATCTTCACCAGCAATATCAAAGCCACAAATGTAACCCTGAGTAGTTTTAGTTGCCTTTCTAACCAAAGTAAAACATTAAAAAAGTTAAAATCCAAGAAATAAGACTTCTAGGTTTGTAAATCTGAATATTTAAAAAGAGTAAGTTAATTATTTAATAGTATTTTAGAAAGAAGACATGACAAAACCCTAAAACAACCAATTTACTTATAAATAGCACAGTCATTTAAAAGAGCAAGTTATTTTGCTATCAACTGATATATAAACTTTGTATATTAGTATATTTATAGTAGTTATTCACTCTGCTCAGACGTGCTGAGTGGCAGTTACATAATGTTTAGAGTCATCCTATGGGTTCTTTTTTCTACTGGTGTAATTTTGAATTGATTTTTTTATAAAGGGAAAGAATTATTTAACTAAAGATGGGAATTATCATGAACAGAATCATGCACAGTAATTACAAATAACATTTAGACAGAATAATTTCTCATTAAAAACACTTTGGATTATGAGTAACTTGTTCTGCTACTGTTCCACAAGACAAGCAAGTATTTCTAACAAACTTTAACTTGATAAATGTGTGAGTCGTGCAATACAAACAGTACCTGATTCTCAATGTCACATGCAAAAGGTTGTGGAGGAGAGCTCTGGGAATGCTGTTCATTGGGGAGGCCCTGGGATCAATCCCCACTAACACAAATAGCTAAAATGGCTAATTAATTTTTATTTACTACCCTAAAAAAAAAAAATCATTTCCTTTGATAATGATGATGTACTAAACCAGATAAGCAGAGAAGACAGGAAAAAAAAAAAACGAGGAATGGTAAAAATACAGTACATTTTAGGGGAAAATTACATTTTATTTATTTATTTGTTTGTTTGTTTATACCAGGAAATGAACTCAGGACCGTGCGCTTGCCAGGCAGGTGCTGTGCCACTAAGCTATATCCCTGGCCCCTGAAAACTACATTTTAGATGACTCACAACTGAAAACATTAATTCTGCTGGAATCTACCAGATGTCTTATTATAGTCTATTTTTCATTTTTCTTTATAGTCTGCAAGTGCTTTCCCTGCTTTTGTACTAAACTAGGTCTCCACAAGTTCAATTCCTAAACAATGATCTAATTTACAAAACAGTCCAACATGTACATGAAAAAAATTATCAAAAATTAAACTTGAAGAGATGCATTTAGTCCAATGGAATAGAGTAGAACCATAACTATTTTTAAAAAATCTTTGGAAATCTCTAAGGTCACTTATTTCAGAAGTTTCTAAATGTAAGTAGCATTTTAAATAAAGTTTTCATTATTTTTGTTATTTTGTTACTAGAATTCAAAGTTTACAAACACTGGGAGCGAGGAGGAAACACACAATTCCAGAAATACCCTCAAAGCAGGTGAGGGGGGCTCCTGTGTTTGGCAGGTGGCTGGATCATGGAGACACTATACTCAGTAGTGGATTCATCCATGGATGTGCTGTTAGGAGGTAAGGCCTAGCTGGAGATGGGTCACTGGGGTCATGACCTGGAATGGGGTATTCTTGTCCTTGGCTCCTTCCTTTTCTCTCTGCTTCTGGCTGCCATGGGATAAGCAGCTATACTGTTTCTGCCTTGGAGCCAGTGGACTTTGGACTGAACCCACTGGAAATCATAAGGTAAATAAACCTCTCCTCCTTTAAGCTGCAGGTGTGTGTCTGGTACTGTGTCCCAGGGACGGGAAAGTAAGTGACTTCTACAAGGGAATATTGAAGGGAAAAAATTTTCAAATATGCAAAGAAATTTTTGAAGTTTTGGTGGTGACAACTTACATTATCCTGAAACAAACACAAAAAACATAAAACAATTTTCAAACTAAAGAAATAAAGCAATACAAATTCAGAATCAGAACTGAAAGTCAAACACAGGTTCAAGAATATTCA